TGACGATAATTTTTAATACATGGTCCATGGATCGATATATATCCACAGCTCGTTAATTATAGAGCGTGTGTTAACCTTTACGACACTCTAATCTACTTCTACTCTCACTACAAGATCATATTTATATTAACGTATTATTAATTTCGACCAGAAATTGATTTCCAAATCGTTAAAATTTCCACGAATAAAAATAAAAATCCTCGCCGACTCTAATTTTTATTATCTCAAAATTTTCCCCCAAAAGTGTGCCAAACGTATCTGATTTCGAAACAAGGGGAGGAGGAGGGGGAATAACGCGTATCGTTCGCGATCCGAGATGAATCAGAGAACTCGAATGGGACGAGAAATTTGTCGAGCGCGTCCCTGGTGAACCGTGCACGACAGTAGGTTACCCTTGCAACCCTTGAGCCTCGACCCCTCTCTGGTAAATTCACCCCGTTGTGTGTGTGTGTGTGCGCGCGCGCGCACACACACACACACACACACACACGCGTGCGAGGGGTCGTGACGTGGCGTCAAGTCCCACGGCGGCGATTCTCTGGAGACTGGAAAGGCCAAGTTCTTTCTGGCACGATCGATCTTCGCACCAACGTGTATCGTGCTCGTGTCTCTTCAATCCATACACTGTGCGCGCTCGATTTTTGGCTCACTGTTATTACGACTCATAAATTGAAGGGAAGAGGTTTCCGCAAAGATCGAGATTAAAAATTCGTTGATTTTAATTAGTTTTGCACTTTTTCGTGAGATACTTGAATGGATTAATAGCGAATTAGTGTAATTGAAAGGATTTGCGTTTTCTTCTTTTTATATTAATTTTTAAAGTATATTACCCGTGATTTATTGTAAAAATTTGTTGTGGGCGAAAAGAATTTCGATAGCGATGTTGACTTGTGACTAAATTCGATGATAACGTCAGTTTAATTCTTCTAACAAAATGAACCTGTTTATTTTTTTTCCTGTATACAAGTTGATTTCAAGTCTCTTTCTCTTTCTGCTTTATTGATCATCCTCTACACATTGTTCACGGTGCACAGGAAAGAAGTAGAACAGTATGTGTAGAGTTAAAAAGCAAGGTCGCCGTTCCAACCCCTCTCGCGCTAGTTTACCAGTTAATAACATTAATGAATCGACAAGTTACAGCTCTCAATTTGTACAATTTTTGTGCATCGAATATCGATCGAGTGATTTATGAATTGGATTACGATCGATTTCGTTCCTCTTTTTTTCGGTATCGCTCGAGAAGAAGGAAAATTCGTAAAATATCGATAACTTTTCCCTCCTCCTCCTCCTCCTCCTCCCCCCTTTTATTTTCCACAAAACTGCATACGCTTCTATAAATGAAAATAGAAAAAAAAAAAATGTCACATGAAGTGTTATTTATAAACACTTTATTACAAAGTAATAGGCAAATATTGAACGGTAGTTTAAATATACAACAATGGATTTGATATATTAGAAAATACGAGAGGTCGATTATATTTTTACTTTATTTATTAAAAGGTGGCATTCGAAAAAAAAAAAAAAAAAAAAAGGAAAAAAATATCCATACGCTGCGACGACACGTTTAATTCAAAAAAAAAAAAGAAGAAAAAAAAGGCTTTGAAGGCTTTCTAGAAAATTAATCCACGAATAATGCAAATTTAACCACGATAATTTCCTGTTTAATTGTCTTTTAATACAGTATTATATAAACAGAATTATAATAAATTAAACAATATTACGTGATAAACTAAACGTATCACAGTGTAATAAGCACTTTAAATACCGTAAATGATATTTTCCAATTTCTGACGATCGATTAAAATGTTTTAATTCCCATTTTCAAACGAGATGTTTATGTTTAATCTCTAATACGGGATATCCTGTTACGCGCATTTTCAGGTTCAATATAATAAACCTCCCCTCCTCCCCCCTAATAAATTTATAACAAAGCGCTTTTAACTTCGTGTAACGTTTCGTATACTTATTTTCACGTATATCGTAAATTATTCTTGCAATTTCGAACTGGAGAGCACTCTACCGTTTTATTGATAATATCGGCTTTTGGATAGATGTCGCGTTTTCCATCACCAGATGTACAATGATGCTTGGCAAACGTTAAAACTTTGCATCTTCGGAGTTTGACGAGTGCGAGAGCTTCGATATCGAAAGTCTTTCCGACTTCGAGTCGTATTCACGTCCGTCTCGATCGGACGAGATCAGAAATCTATCGTCAAATTCTCTTGGGATATATTTAAAACCATCTTTCTTAAGATTGTAATTTTTATCATCCATCTGGTTCGCATTATAAACCAGAAGGCAGAATTCTGACGAGCAAATTTATACACACACACACACACATATATATATATAATCAAAAGTCAAGATCTCAGTGAGCAAAAGTTGCTTCAAGACTTGAGCGAAAGTCGAAGAGTCGTTGTAAAATCGGGTCACCGAATTATTCGATCGCGATTCATCATCTTCGAATGCGTGCAACTTACGGTCGAACAGCGGTGCCTTTATTAAAATCGATAACAATTCCGGAGAACGATTGCCAGTCCAACGTTAATATTTTGAATATTTTCGATTACCAAAATCTGGATTCCAAATCTCTTCGAGGAAAAGTGAAATTCGAACGATCTTTCCGAATCGGCGGCAATGATAAAATTGGAAGGCGTTTATTTTCGACGCGCGCCTGATCAATCGTCGATGACTGAATTGTTGTTGACTATCGGATCGTTGACGATTTTATTGGATTCATTATTGGAACATATGATTCATGACACGCGCGCTTCGATTGTTACGACTATTGGAAAAAGTACGGGACGATTTTTCAGTTACGAAGGCGGATGTCTTTTTTTTTTTTTTTTTTTGTGCATAATAACGAGCTTCTTCGATGATTTAAAACTAATCACCGCGCGATTATACGAATTTGTGGTAATTGTTTCTTTCTGAAATAGGATGCGCGTTTCTCTATTCTTATATCTCGATTCTTCTTGTAAAAGAAAAAAAAATCTGGTTCTAAGAAATTAACAGCGTAACAGATAATCCAATAGTAAATTCCAATCTTATCAGATTCGTCTAGAAGGAAAAAGCTTGGGCAAATCCATTCATTCAACTGTAGAGTTTCCGATAATGGTACGGGCAATAAGCGTCCAAGAAAAGATGTTCTTCGGAGTTTCCATTCGAGGAAGGAATGCAAACAGCTATGATCAGCGTGTGTGCACCAGCCTTCCTCCCGAGATGTATATTTTCCGTTCTATCGTGAAGTTACGACGAAGTTTAGACGATCGAAACGGGACGGAGAAACAAGACGCAACGTATACCGGCGCAAAGGGTGATCGATATCGAGTCGATTCGTGACCCTCGAAACACGCTGTTATCGTTGCCACAGTGCAACGGTCTTTCCTTTGTACAATCAACTCTTATATTCAATTAGAACTTTCGCGTTCGATACGAGCGTGCATATACACGTACATATAGAATGATAATATGTTGGAACACCTTTGCCAGAATCGAAACGGTGAATTATATGAATTTTTCTTCTTTCTCGAAGGAGGAAAGATTCGCAAATTCGAGTAGATTTTCGATACTCGATGTGTCCTTTTATTATCGATTTTTAATTAATTATTCTGCGAGATCTGAATCTTTGTTCTATCGGGGAAAATTTTTGAAAATTTCTTCGAAGGAACAAGTGTCGTCGTCGCGTATATTGACTTTTTTGTTTTTTTTTCGTCGCTGTTGCATTCAGCAATTTTAAAATCAGGAATTTTCACGTGTCGAGAAAAAGATTAACACGAAATTGCCCGATATGCAAAAGTCATGTATACGCATGTAAATATTCAACGTAAAATGCGTGTTAATTTGCTTAACTTGTTCGAAATAAGTTTTCATTTCGTTGGAGAGAAACGAGCAACGAGCCTGGTCACGTCGATTATCGATATTAGAATCAAATTCCTCTCTTTTCTCGCACAATTGGCGGCGAGATTTTGTTTAATTTGGGCAGAATCAGATGGCACTAACAGGTGTTCGACGCGCGTGTAGATCCAAGAAGCAACCAAGAAAGACATGCACGAGAGCTCATTAAACCTGATTTACGTCTCTCGTCCGATCACGACTACCATAGCACACGAGCAAGGTAGGCGCGATTCCGCGATTGTTGCACCGTTGTTCCGATCATTTTTCAAATATTAGCCGAATGATATTAACCAAATGATCGAATATTCACAGAATGCAAATTTTCTATGCTTGAGCGTCACGTTCAAAGTTCCATCGAACTAATTAATGATTCGTTGCGGCAGAATTTTCCGTTAATATTCCGCACCGATGTATAAAACTTTTTGCCGAAAAGAAAAATAATTTTTTTTCCTTTTCTAAAATTGATCAATTTTTATATATATATATCCGATTATATTTCTTTTAAAGAAATTTAAATTTTCTCGAAAAAAGCTCCATTCTTCGAATGGAATCACACTCTTGGACAATGTCGCGACTCGATCAGCCATCGAGGATTCGTTCGAACAATTGAATTGAATGATTCAAAGCTGTCCAGATATTATTGGATCTCCATTTGCGAAAAAACGACTCCTCGAAATGTGGAACAGGATGTCGCGTAACACGGGAGATGTGTTAAAAGAGAGAGAGAAAGAATTGTTATTATTTCTTCAAAACGATTGCTTCTGCGCGACATCCTGTACGTATTCGCACCCCAAACCTTTCTCTCGAGGTGGATCGTTACCCCTTTCGTGATCGAATAGCCAAGAAAATAGATTATGCATGCGCGTTTCGTTTCCTCCGGTGAAAGTCGTAAGTTTCGTCGGGCCACGAATCTGTGCCACCACAGTTCGACGTGTATTTCGTCGTTTCATTGGTTTTCGCTCGCTCGAGGCGGCTTACGAAAGTCCGACGATGCATGTTAAACTTCCCCCCACCCCGGTCCACATGCATGCGACACGCGACCCACACCAGAGAACACACTGTACACAGCACACCTAACATGACCGATCGGTCTGATCTGACAGATCGTTGCCTGTCCCCAGGAGGCATACTCCGTACTTTGGCCAACCGGACTACAGGCTCTACGAGTTGAACAAGAGGTTACAACAGCGTACAGAGGTGAGTCCATTTTTTTTCTTCTTCTTCTTTTCACTTATTCTAATTTATTCTAATCTACCTTGCAGCGATAGATTTTAAGACGATCATACGACGATCGATGTGTTGTAAAGTTTAATTTAATAACGCGAAACACAATTTTCTTTCTTTTCTTTTTTTTTTTTTAATTAACATATCCGCAGATTCGAGAGAAGAGAATAGCGAATAGGTGAAAAATCGTCAGGTGTTGGAAAGTGAGCGGGGAAAATATTCCATATTGTAAGCAGCGTTTCTCGGTTGCATGCTTATTTCGAGGTGCAAAGAGTACGCTCGCGTAAGCAAGTTCGTTAGTAGATAGGGTAACGGATTAGAGACAGATGACTAGGTATTAACGTACGGGAAAATATGTGCCGATGATTAATTGCTTTCCGTTTGTGCAACCTTGTTTCCGATCAGATTGAATTACGGGCAGAGTAGAGACGGCGTTCCCAACCTCGACCGTTGTTTCTTTCTTTTTTTTTTAGAAGCTGACACAATGATAGATCTGTCTCGATTAGATCGATTCTCTTCTCGAATTTTATCTCTCGTGGCAAAAGATAAGAAGGAATTGCAAAGGCACAATTTTTATTTTCCAAATGTAGACTGTAAATGTAGTCAATTTAATTTTTAAAAAGTTTTTTTTCTCGCTCGGTCAAACTGGGTCACTATTCACTACTGCACTTCTGGCAATTAAACGATCTTTGGTAAAATCTAGATCAAAACTCGGCTCGATCGATATTATTATTCAACATTATTTTTCCTAATTACTTCATTGGACACTCTAATAATCCTGCTCGAATCATCTTTATCTCCTAGAGCTTAGAAGCTTGTTGTAACTGTAATCTTAAAGATAAATCAATTTCAAAGAGATTCGACGAGACGGTGAGCCGACCGATTTCCTGACAAGCGAAAGATGCGATTGGTTTCTCCAAAAATAAATTCTCAGAGAATACGTGAGATTCCTTGACAATATCTCCAAATTTCCGGATAAGCTCCGGATACTGGCCTGAATATTAATAATCCTTTTTCTTATTTATATTTAAAAAGGTTATCGATCAAGTAACAAAAGTCCCTAGAATGCAATTATATCGTTCCCACCTACTCTCATTGGATCAAGCTTTCAAGCTTAATGATTTGCATAAATTGTTTATGCAATTTGGAACAATTTTTAATATTACATTCGAGATCTTAATACAGTATTAAGAGTATTAATCCAGGATTCGAAGTGGCTAGCTATCCTATTCGATTTTCATGCATTATATAAAATTGTGTACCGTGGTGGGATGAACTTATCCTCCTTTCAGAGATTGCCGATAATAGTGATAAGATACAATCCTGGGGAACGGATTATCGAGTTGGCGTACATGTCTCGTTTTCTGGACTATCGAGTTTTCCGTCGATTTCAGACAGGCCGGATTAATAGATTCTTCTGCGGGGAGACAGAATCGCGGAATTTATTGAAGACGAATCCTCGATGACCTACGGGAAGCAGTTCGAGTAATCGATCGGTTTATTACGCGTCTTACGACCTGTTTGAAATACCGGTATAACGTGAAAACGTGTTGTTGCGAAACGCGACAAGAAAGAAGACGATATCTCACGATTGTTCATAACGCTATTATATATTTTATCGTTAAATAAAATATATAAAACGATTAATTGAGCGATTAAAGACCGCGTTAAATTTTCATTCGCGGGAAATTCAAGTATACGAAATATTAATAAAAAAGAAAAAGAAAGTTCTCTCGGTTCCCATATATATATATATATATCACAATTTTGCAATTTCAAGATCCGTACGAAAATCGCTTGGAATCGATCAACAAGCCAACGCGAATTGGCGCATTTGTCGCGCCAACGAAGGGGCACGCGAATGTTTTCTCCTGCTCGCCTTTTTGCGGTGAACCTCCAGGAGCCCGTTTTTCTTTTGGGCCAACAGTGATCAATGCGCCATTAGGACAAAGCACCGTGAAAAAAAGGGCCAAGGAAGAGAGAGAGAGAGAGAGGAAGGGGGCCGGGGTTAATGTGTCTTAATGAGCCTCTGATACTTGAGAGGCGCGTTCATTAATCTCCGGGAGGAGGACCAAATGGACAACCGGTATTCACTTCAGAGATCTCGATATTATCGGTCCGTCACGCCAGTTTACGTTTGTCGCGTGGCCATCGTCGGTATAAAAACCTGGCTGCAATTAACCCTTTCGCTAGATTGAGCTATCCTATCCTTTCCTTCTCTCTCTCTCTCTCTCTCTAATAAATCGCAAGATTACCGCCTGATCGAAAATAAATCCTGTGCAACGACCTTGATCCGTAATATAAATGTAATAATAATTTAATAGGATATAAGAATAAAATATCTTTTGTTCCACCGCGAAGACGATCGGTGGGTAAATGATGATCGAGTCGAGCAAAGTCATTAATCACTCCGAGCCTCGATCGTTGTGTTATAGCTCGCCGCGCCATCGAGGCTACTCAAATGTTTATTTATCATTTATTAACTCTTATTATTATTTCGCACGACTCTGACCTGCATACGCTTTATTTTTTCTTTCTTTCTTTCTTCTTTTTTTTTTTTTTTTTCCTTTTTATCTCCTCCTCTTTTTATCTCTTATTCCCTCCACCGTTTTTCGCGAATCATCTGATCATAAACTTATCTATCCGAACAACGTGCAACGTTCGAACATTGGGAAAATCGTTCTATACACTTTCTGGCTGGAGTTTTTCATCAAAGAGTATCGTATCGATATTTACCCCTTTATATTTAAGAAGGTTACCAACAAAAGTTCCTAGAACGTAATTATGTCGTACGTATATTTACTGGGACGGCGACTGTATGGCGGACTTACGAGTGCAAACGGCGAACAGGGTCTCTGGGACCGTTAATTCTTAACCCTCGAACCGATCGTTGGTCACTTCATCCGACTAGAGCAAACGACTTGGCGTGTCCCTCGTTCATAAATCATCTCTTCTCGCGTTATCGTCACATCTCGAGCGTTGTCAGCGTGCGTGTGCACCGCCTGTGTTCCTCCGCCGGCCGGCTTCCGTCAGGCCCGTGCGAACATGGCGCCCTTTTATTTTCTCGTTTACAACACAATCCGTCACTCGATCATTGTATCGGGCGTCCATTAATCCAATCTATTTGTCTCGACGATCCTGATTAGTGACAAGATTAGATTAACACCTTAACGGAATTGGCAAAATTGGAATCACACTTGTGGATCCAATTCCAAATTTTTTTTTTGTCGCTGCTTGTCGTGTGTTAACCCTATAAAAATTGTCAATCGGTAAATATCGATGTAATATAATTGATTTTCTATATAACGAAACGATATTGTAAATTCAATTTCGAAAAAAAATCGAAATCGATCGATGAAAAAAAATGTCAGTATTTGATAGTGAACTTCAAGAGGCCGAGAAGAGAGACAGTCGAGTGTCTGTACGTCACTGTAAAGTTTGCCGTGGTTCCGCCTACATTGGGGTTGCGTTCGTGTCAAGGGGGTGTTAGGGGGTTGGTTGAGGTACGGTTGGTGCAAGAAGAAACGAGCTTGGTTGAGCTGAGGTGGAAAGGGTAAAGGACGTGGGACGAATTAAAATCAGGGGCCACGCTGACTCGGATATTTTATCCGTTTTGTTTCAATCCTGTTCATTTTACGTACGCCTGTTTTCCAGACAGAGATAGAATTATTCAAGTTTTTATTCTCGCGAAAATCACCGGTTTCGTAAGCTTTTTAAGATAAAAATGGAATATTTAAGTTTACGTATATATACACACACACACACACTTTTGGAAGAAAATTCGCCTCGTTTATTAAGTATTATAAACGCGTTTTGACGTATCGCGTGCATTCACTATTAACTCTAATTCGAACATTAAGCTTATCATTGTATCGTGTTCCATCCGATAAGCTTCTCTCGAGTTTATGTTCTCTCGAGTTTATGTTCCACCGATCCGAAATAGGAGATTCTCAATCTCCTATTTGTCTAATATCTTCAATCATCCCCAATTTCATCGTTCGATGCATTTAGAAAATTGTCTCGACGTTATGGCGACGGAAATTTAAAGAAATTAATATCGTCGTGAATGAATTTTATACGTCGAGGTGAAACGCGTAAAACAGCAGAATCGAGTGGGTGTAAGCTTTGAGAGTTCGAGTACGAAGAGTTTAATTTAGAGGGATCTTATTTAGAGAGAGACATAGAGAGAGAGAGAGAGTACCGTAACGAAATTAGTTCTGGATATGAAGAACTTAGTTTGCCTGAGTAATGTGAAAAAGTACGTTTATCTATGAACGAAGGCTTAAGAGTAAGAGGTAACCTGGATAAGACACAGATATTAATCCTGTAATGGCACATTCAACTCTTTTATTACTCCAATAAGACACTCTCGTTTCCTACTCGTAACCACTGTGTATTGTAAAACCGTGGCAAATATCAAACTTGTATAACTTTCTCCCCAACATCTAATTACGTAGTCTAAAAATAGACGTACATCTTTGATGAATCTTTATTTTAAAAATATAAAATGCGCAGAAAACAAAAAAACCGATATCCGTTCGAAAGAATAAGCGTCCCATTGCGAAATTTAAATGTAAAAATTAATTGAATTTTCAAAGTTCAGAAAAATTTAAATCGAATGTATAAAAAATCGTCGCGATCCTTGCTATTCAATTATCCAAATCTGATTTTTTTTTCTTTTTCTTTTTTTTAATTATCGTCGAAACGTTTCAAATAGACGAGGAAGCAAGCAAGCACAGTCGCAATACCAATACCGAATTCCGCCTCTATCCGGTAGCGCGCCATATTATTCATTTATAATTACTCGTTTGCGCGTTTTGCATTCCCGGTTGCAAGGTAACCTTATTTCCAGTATCGCAAAATAAATTTCACCGCCCCTCGTGCCGTATTTCTAATTAGCGGCCGGCCCGAAAATTTCCACCAAATTCGGGGCCAAAATTGACGATCGCGAAATAATTCGCAAAAGCTGCTGA